GGCTCCTCCATCCTGTATGGGGCAGTAGAACTGCCTCCCCCTCTCCACCACCAAGTTGGGGCATGCTGCCACCCTGTGGGTCCCCATATACAGATCCCTCCTGGCATATACCTTTTTATTTTTAAGGGAAAAATGTGTCCAAAGTCACATCAGCCAAATCGATTCCAAATCCATGATTCATTCAAGAACCGTATGTGGCCCTGTTACCAGCAAGCATCCTCTACCCCTGCCTGGGGCTTCAGATGCTTCCAAATCCTTTGGCAGGCATCCTACATGCAGGCCCTCAAGCCCAAAGGCTTGGAGTTCAGATGCCTCTGAGTTTCGCTTGCCCTCAACTGTATGGCTGAAGGAGTAAGCTAGGGAGGAGTCTCCTCCCTCCTGGCATATATCTGGAGGACCTGGACCTGAAGGGAGGGGAGAGCAGGGGGATCCCAGGACCCCAGCACAGAGACATAGCCCTGTCCCTGTACCCTGAGCTTATGTACCCCTGTATCGTGCTTAACCCTAGGCTCACACCCTGGGTCCCTTAGGCACAGCTCTTCTAACAGCCCTAGGGACACCCCTCCCTGCTCCCTCCATGCTGTGTGTGTAACCCTTGCCTGTGCACCACTAGCACACACACCAGCACCCCTTGCACTCATATATACACATGCGCACACACACCCCTTGTCCCCAACTCCCAGCCCTAGGCAACCAGGCTTACACGCTCATGCACATGTCCTGTACTGGGTGATGCACATACTTCCCTCCCCCCACCCCCCTCCAAGCACACATCCTTCCTCCCCCACCTCCCAATTTACAGGCCTCCTCATGTGTCCATCCCACTGTCCACGGCTGTGTGCAGCCCCCTCTCCACCCATGTGCACACCCCTTCCTGGGTACCTTCTGTGAAGTGCTGGGCACTCTCTTCCCACATGACCTGCCCCCCCACCATGCACACTTGCCCCATGTATGTTGTCCCTGCACCGCTGCCGCCCCCCGCCCCCCGGGCACACAGCCCTCAGGTACATGCTCACTTGTCCCTGCCTTGTGCCCTGCCACCTTGCACATGCATGTGCCCCTCCTTCCCTCCTTGCTAGCCACACACCCCTCAAACCCCAATCACCTCCTTAGGTGCCCCCACAGCCTTGCCCAGCCCCTGCCTGGAACCTGCCCATGTTCATAGTGCCCTTTCTGTGCCCCCACTGCACACACTTAAACCCCTGGTGCCCACTGGCCAGGTCCCACCAACTTCCTGCAGGCATGGCCAGTGTAACCCATCCTGCCCCTGCAAGGAGACTTCCTCCTCCTTTGCCCCCACCCCCTGCCCCATTGGCATCCCTCCCTCACTCTGTGCACCCACAGAGCCCTGGGCTGGGCACTCACCTGCAGGGGCCTCATGCTGCTGGCAGGGCTGGGCAGGAAGTGGTGCCCCTCTGTCCCTGCTGCCTGTTATGTACCCATAGGGCCAGCCCCGACTTATATCCAGACCTTCCCAGCCCCCCACCCTGGCCTCTCCACCCACAGGCAGCACCCAAGGCTGCCTGGGCACAGGGTGGAGGTGGCCTCACAGCCAAGGCTGCTTGGGGGTGGCTTCCGGCACGTATGCTCCCCCCCCCCCCAATCAGGGAGAGAACCCAGGCAGCCAAGCTACCCCAAAGTGCACTGGTAGGGAGTTCATAGCTAGCCCAGCTCCAGGAAGGTGTGGGGTCTGGTGGGTGACAGCAGGTGCGTTGGGGGCCAGGACATGATTCCATCTCAGTTCTGGGAGAGAACCAGGGCCCGGTGGGTTTGTGTTGGGGGCGAGTGGGGTTGCAGGGGCTCAGACACCTGTGTTCTCTCCCAACTCTGGGAAAGGGTTGGGGTCTAGTGGGTTAAAGCAGGGGGGCTGGGAGCCAGGAATCCTGGGAAGGGACTGGGGCCCTCTGGCTCCCTTGTCCCTCTCCAAGGGCACCCCTGCCCCCTCCATTCCCTATGCCACCCACACCTGCTGGGTTGCCAGACAACAAATCCCCCTGGCCTTGCAGTCTCTGTGACATGCCCCTGACCCCATCCCAGCCTCCGCAGTCTGGGGTTGTGGTAGGCAGGGAGGGGCATGGCACAGCCCTGCCCCAGTTATGGAGACCCAGAGCCTGGTGGGGGCTGACAGTGCAGCATGTTTGGGGGCTGGGGGGTCACACAGGGCCTGGTTTGCCACTCCTGTAACTGTGGGCCTCTGTGCAGTACATACCATGCACCACCAGGACCTTGGGCGGGGCAGCCCGCGGGCACACAGTGGGCTGGTGCTGCCTGGGACCCAGGCAAGTTGGGGCCCACCACAGCACCCCAAAGGACTCATGTGCCAAGCTGAGTGCCCCCCGGTGGGTCATGGCAGGTGTCTCCATAGGCAGCTGCAGGGAGCAGGGGGCACGGACACATGGGGGGCAGGGGGAGGCCCCCTGCCCTCTTGTGGGTGAGACGCTGCAGCTCCTTCCTGTAGAAAGAAAATGAGGGGGCTGGTTATCAGGTGGCAGCTGCCAGCCCCACTCCAGTGCTGTCAGACCCCTGCTCCCGCCCCTGCATCCTCCCTCCAGAGAACTCAAGGGTCTGGGCTCCCAGCTTCCCCCACTCTGGCCTGTTCCCCTCCCCAGGACCATATGCAAGTAGAGCCCACTGTCCTGTCTCCCCCCTCCAACACCACCTATGTCCCCTCCTCTTCCAACAGAACCCAGGTGTCCTGATTGCTATCTCTCTTCCCCTAGATCATGGGTTCCCAAAATTTTATGACTGACATGGCCCAGCAAACCACAGCCCAGCAGTCACAGGTAAAGTCAAGTAAAGATATCCCCACCCTTTTGGGGGGAGGGGGGGGGCAAACCCTGCACTACTGCGGGCCCTGCGGAAGGAGCCACAGTCTCTCCATCTGGCTCTGGAGGGGCCACAGTTTGCCGGTCCATGGGGATTGAGAACCCCTGCTCTAAATAAAACCCAGGCCTCATTCCCACTCCCCCTCTCTGGGGGCCTGAGTGTTTCCCCCCCATCCCTATAGAACCCAGCTGTCCTCACTCATAGCCCTGCTCTGCAGGTGTTCCTACCCTACTCCCTTTTACCTCCTTGCCCACCCTAAGCAGGATGTAGGAGTCCTGGCAAACACCCTCCCAGGCTCCAGTCCTCTCCTTGCTCCCCTCCAGGGAACCCAGGGGTCTGGGGCCCTGTGTCAAGGGATGCCGTACTGGGAGAAGGGCCGGAAGTCACGGGCAGGGACAGAGGCATAGGGCTCAAGCTGGTGCAGTGCCCCCTCCTCCTGCAGGTAGAAGAGGCGCCCAGCCAGTGCTGGGTTCTGGGTAGTGGGCACCACCTGCTGCAAGGGAGGGACACAGGAGTCAGTGGGGGAGATGCCAGGGTCAGGACTGTCACTCAACCACCCTGCGGATCCCTCACCCCCATGGCAAGTCTTCTGGAGACCCCTCCCCAGCCCTCCCTCTCCAGCCCCTGGAGTCCCAGCTCCAGGGATCCTCGATCTCGTGGGTCCCTCACCTTGGAGGGCCCATCGCAGTGGTGGTCAACTAAGCGTGGGACCTGGGCCCCAGGAAGCCGGGCGCCATTGGGGGCCAGGCTGGGCCAGCCAGGGAAGCACTCCTGCATCTCGCTGACCAGGTGGGCTGTGGCAAGGGGGAATCGCCAGGCATGGAGATGCAGCTGGGTGGGGTACATGGGGAGCATCAGTGCACAGCAGGGACCCCCCTGCCCCTACGTCAGCCCTCCAACCCCTGCCTGGGCCTTTGCACTTGCCCCTACAGCAGGGAGGGAGCGAGGAACCCGTCATATCCTCTTGTTTCTCAGGGGGCTGGCTGAACCTGGAATGCAGGCATCTGGCCCCCTTCACCCTGTGCCACCATGCTCCCCTCCCAGGGTTGGGAAAGAACCCAGGAGTCCAAGCAGCCAGCCCCACCTTACTCCAAGACCCCAGCCTGCACTTCCTTCCCAGGCCTGAGAGAGAATCCAGGTGTCCTGGTACCCACCCCCCTTGCACCAGAGACCCTCCCCTTGCTTCCCCCTGTTGGTATAGACTCACCTTGTCCTGCAGATCCTTATTGAAGTGCACCTGCCAGTGTGGTGGGGGGATGGGGTGGTGGGGCTGGCTGAGGACCCCTCCATGGGTTTTCACGTTGTGGCACAGGACTGTGGTGGTGGCCAGGTGCTTGGTGTCCCCCTCCTTCCACAACTGCTCAGAGGCGAGGGGTAGGGGCTGATGCAGGGTGGACTGGGGGGAGAGAGAGGAGCTAGATCCCGCCCCCCCCCACCTCCCAGAGTGGGCAGAGAGCCTAGGAGTCCTGGCTCCCAGCCCCCCAGGCTCTAGCCCACCAGCCCCCACCCCCCTCCCCGAGCTAAACATGGGACCCAGGCATCTGGGTTCTGACCACACTCACTTGGGCAGCAGGTGGCAGGAAGGGCAGGGGGGGCTGGTACTCCAGCCCCACACCACTGCTGGTGAGGTGCCAGTCTTGCCGGTGGTGCCAGTGTCCCCCCTTCATACCCACCAAGGGCTGTGGCCCAGGGGCCAGAGTCAGTGCAGTGCCCGCCATGCCCAGGCTGCCTGGATTGCTGAGGATGGGGAGATGTTTGTGATGGCTGTTGCCATGGTGCTGGAACCTGGCACATGTGACTCGGAGCAGCTGCGAACCGGATGCCTGGGTTCCCTCCTAGCACAGAGAGGGAGTGAGGGGCTGGTGGATTGGAGCAGAGGGGGCTGGGAGCCAGGATGGCTGGGTTCTCCTGCCAGCTTCCAGGGGGCATGAGGGGTCTGGTGTAGGGGGCTGGGAGCCAGGACACCTGGATTCTCTCCCAGCTCTGGGCGGGGAGTGGGGGCTAGTGGGTAGAGCAGTGTAGTGACCAGAGCTACTGGGTTCTTTTCCAGCACCAGAAGGGCTCTGTCAGGTCTGTCCCCCCACCCCACCTCAGGGACATGGTTCTTCCCTGTTCTGTGGGGTGCAGAGAATCTGCTCCCAACCCTTTATAACCTGCAGCCCCCTGCACCTCCCCCCAATACTGGGGTGCTCATGGTGATCTTGCTATGGGCCATGAGCTGCTGCAGTTCCTCTCTTCTGCCACAGGGGGGAGCCAGGTGGTCATAAATCCACCCCCCACCATTCCCACAGCCAGGGCTGGGGGGAGAGGGGGCTGCGGGTTGGGAATGACGGGCACTAGGGCAGGAGCGGCCTGCCAGTCCAAAGTGAGGGTCACCAGCAGGGCTAGGGGTGGAGGGTCCACAAAGGGATCTGGCATCCAGCTTCCGTGGCAGCCTTTCCCAGCGCAGTGAACGCAATGACAGAAGCTGAGACGAGGCATGGGGTCATTCAGGTCTTTCCAGGGGTGGGGGGGAGGCACACCGGAGCAGGTGCTGCAGGAAATAAGTTAACATGGAGCAAGGGGGTCAGGGAGCAGCCATCACAAGAGTGCTGGGGGGCAGAGGGAGGGCAGGGGGCAATAAATATGGTAGGAAATAGAGTTAACCAAAAAGAAACAGTTGAATCCCAAAGAAATGACACCACTTGGGACACAGATGCACGCCACAGAGACTGGCTGTGGGCCTAGGCAGCAGCCACCATGCCTGAGGACCCCAATTCCTGTGAGACCCTAGCATGATCAGTGGGGTCCCTGGAGTCTGGCCATGGGGAGAGCAGTGGCAGCACCATCCATGCAGTCCTGCCCACATCTCCAGGCCCCTCAGGCACCACGTCCATGGCTCCAGCTTGTCCAGCCGCTGACAGAGACCACGTTCCCCTACGTTCCCTGGGGCTTCTATGTCCGCCCGGCGCGGCTGAGGAGGGTGCAGACGCAAGCTGTATCGATACGGATCCAGCGCCAGCCTACCAACTTCTCAGAGTCCACGGTGAGCGCCCGCACGTATGACTGCTTGGCCTTGCACTCGGACAGCCAGTGGCGCCGGTCCACACCCCGGCACCCACCCCCAGTGCCTCCAGCTGGGTTGCACTTGGTCTCAAAGAAGTACTGCTTGAGGGGCCCCGTCAGCGTCTGCACCTCGGACAGCACCGTCACTGCTTTGCCCCGGATGTCCACAGCTGCCCGCTTGTCCGTCACCCACACATTGACACTGTCGCACACAGCCATCTCCCCCCGCCGCGCCGCTGCCATCTCTGCTGCCCTCCGCACCCGCCGTGTCCCATTGGCCGCTGCTGCCTGCATCCCAGGCTCCTCCAGCAGCAGCAGCAGTGGAGGCCCCGTGGGCTCCCGGTGGGACAGGGCCACACGGGGGGAGTACAGGTCCCACTCATCCGGGGGAGGCGGTGTCCCGTCCCAAGGAACCCCAGCATCTGGGGCAGGCGGGGGGAGGGGGGCAGCATGGAATGCACAGAGGAATGATGTCATCACCATGGGCAGAAGCGGGATGGGCATCACTGGGCACCCAGGGGACCTGATCAGAGGGAGAGCAGGGTTAGAGCAGGGGTACCCAGCACCGAGATACAGCTCTATCCCCCGCTACATCCCAGCCCTGGGACCCAGCACCTAGACATGCCCCCGTCCCCCCTATATCCCAGCCCTGGGACCCAAGGGAGGGGCTGCAGGTTGGGAGCGAGAGGCCTTAGGTGTTACCTGCCAGCTTAGTGGGGGTCTCGACCACGTTGCTCCCAGAAGTCCCGGGCCCTGGTCCGATTCATGTCCCTTCTGATATTGGGCCCAGCAGAGTGCTGCAGCCTCTTCCTGATCTCCCCAGGGCAGGTGATGGCTGGGGGTCCCCCAGGCTCTGCTCCCCCCCCCCGGGTCCTACCAGGCACCAGGGCTCTGTATCAGGACCCCCACAACCCTGGGGGCCTCACCAACCAGCCAGTCCTGGCCTGGGCACCCCATGGGCTCAGCAGCAAGTTGGGGGTCTCAAGGTCAGCCTGACTTAGGGGGCCCCTCCCAGGGGGTCTGGAGCATCTACCACACTTGGGGGGTGAGGAGTGTTTGGGGGGCCTTCAGCCAGTCAGGGGGGCTGGAGCTGGGGCTGTCACTCAGAAGACCTGGGAGGGAAGAGAAAGACAGAAAAGCTGTTGGCTGGAGTGAGAACCCAGGTGTCTGGGCTCCCCCCACCCCCTGCTGTAAGCAGCCCCCTCTCAGAGCCCGGTGAGGACCCAGGGGTCCTGGATCCCTGTGCCCTGACTTGCTAGATGTATTTGCAAAGCTGGGGGTGAACCCAGGTATCCTGGTACCCAGTCCCCCTCCCCCCTGCCCCGTGTTGGCTGAGAACAGGTAGCTCGGTGCATGGGGGATGTGGGGGAGGTCCCGGGACAGCTGCCTGCTGGGTTTCAGTTTCAAAGGCGGGTGGGATCAGCCCCCAACTCGACCCCGACGCCCTCCCCAGATGTGCATGCATCTGGATTCCATTCACTGCCCCCATCCCCCCCCCTTCCCGCAGCCGCCAGCTTTGGAATCCACCACCAGTGCCAGAG